TTCCATTAACATTTCATACAGGTCTTTATGTGTTTCAATATATTTCATCCATCCATCCATCCATTATCTTTACCCGCTTATTCCATTTTGGGTCACGGGGGTCGCTGGTGCCCATGTCCAGCAATCACTGTGCGAGGGGCGGGGTACACCCTGGACGGGTCGCAAGTCCATCACAGGGCCACATAGAGACAAACGAGACAAACAACCATTCACACCTAGGGACAATTTAGAGTTACCAATTAGCCTAACATGCATGTTTTTGGTCTGTGGGAGGAAACCGGAGTACACGGAGAAAACCCACGCATGCACGGAGAGAACATGCAAACTCCACCCAGAAGGCCCCTGGACCGGGGTTTGAACCAAGGACCTGCTTGCTGAGAGGCAGCAGCTCTACCAGTTGCGCCACCGTGCTGCCTTTTACATATATATATATATATATATATATATAATGTATTTATTACTCCTGACCTTTGGTAAGCAGAGAGAGCTAAAGGCATTTTAACATGCTCTCATCTACCTGGAGGAGCAGATGTTAAATATTTAGTTTAAAATTAATTCAGATCAGTCAGATGGATGTGTAATAAATGAATATTTACATAATCAGGCAGCGACCTGAGAGACTGCAGACGTACGTGACCAGAGGACGACTCTTTCAAACTAAAGTTAAACGTTGAAAACATCACATTTTCCCCTTTAAACTCATGTGGTTGTTTTTATTTTCCTTTTTAATATTTCTTTAAGTTTCCAGGATTCAAGACTGTCAGTTATTCAGGTTCAAAAAATTAATAAATAAATCATAAAACGGATTGTTCCTCAACAACAGCATCTGCTTTGATTAAAAAAATAAATCATATTAAACATCAACACGTTGCAGCACATTACCCTCCAGCTGCCTTGGGCTCAAGTTAACCCAAAGGCAGCAGGAGGGTTGAACAGGATTGTAATCTGTAATCCTGGTTATATCAAAACAACAAAAACAGTGTGTGACTCAAACTGCAGCGACACTTTGGATAAAACATTTAATTTATGCAATCATGCCCAAAGACAACTTCCTGCCATGTCTGTGGACTTAAATTTAACTTTTATATGACTACAAAAATATAAAATCTGTTTTATTTTGCTTACGTTCATTCTGTTAACACTAGAGAGAGAAATATTTAAACTGTTCCTAAAATCTTAAAGCCAAACCGAGTACTGATTGAAAACACTGGAGGTCCATTGTCCCCACCTGCTGGTGCGTAAAGCAGATTGTTGGAGGTTGTTCAGTTCAATTAGACTAATTTATTTACGTCACACAGGGCTGGTAAACAAATAAACAAACATACAGTACACAACAAAGGAAGCTGGGGTCAAACCCACAACAAGACCATAGGTTGAAGAGGCGTTATAGACTTTTATAAATCATTCTAACTAATTCAACATATGGGATTTACATCATCCTCCTGTTTCACTTTGGCTGCACCAGGTTCAAAAGAAAAGATGGCCGCTATGTGACAAAATGAGTAAAATCACATGGATTAAGATGCTTTCTTTCATTTGTTGTAGTTGTGGGATATGCAAGTCACAGGCTATTTAAATGTTGCTTCAAAAATCGATGATAAAAAAACTTTGGTTTGTGAGATAGGGTCTTTAAATGCAACACGACTGAACGTGTCAACATTTATGTACATAGACTCTTCTTAAATTAATAAAACTATTATCTCACTGTAGACCCCCACTTATAAAAGTCACGAAGCAGAAAACCGCAGATTATTCCATCTTCTTGGTGTAAATGCTAGTTTAAATTTAGATTCTGTACTTGTCAAGTTTGTCACCTGCCTTTAGTTCCTCTTTTTTTTTTTTTTACCTAACACTGGCAAAGCACAGGTGCATTGTGGGTGTAGAGACACAGTGGGTGAATACAGTATATTTAATGATGTCAGATTACAGACAGATGCTTTTTCTGGGAGGAAACAAGCCTAGAAATCTTGCAGTCATGGAAATTGAGCATAATGTCTTGTACAGCAGCCCCCGCACGCTCAAAACCTCCTCTCTCTACCCTGCAGGGCTTTGGTTCGGTTACTAAGCAAATTTTCACGACCTGATCTGTTCATCAGCTGCCGAGCTGCAGACAGGCATCCAAAAATAAAAAAACATCATCGTGCAGAAAAGCCATAAAGGCCTGAAACGCAGGGGGTGGCCTCTGTGAGACATTAACCTCAATGGGTGTTTTAACCAAATCAGTCAGGAAGGGGTTCCTGTTAGATCCACTTTGCAAAGCATCAAAAAAAGGCTGCCAATAGCCAAAAGAAGAGCAAGCGCTGCCTGTTTTCTTCGCCTTCAGCTGCTTTATTCTGCCTCATTTCTGCGATCAGTGTGTGCCGATTACTCGAAGCGATACAGGTGGGGTCTGGCATGTTAGGATAGCCATGGATGGTGACAGTCTCATCTTTCAGTCTGATGTAGTGTTGCTTGCTCTCTGTGACATGTCTGGCCAGGACCCTAATCTATCGCTTTGTACAGTATAAAGTAGTTTAAACAGTTGAATAACATAAAATAACATAATACAATGTTATTTATGTTATTTCCCACGTGAAGAACTCCTGTAAACCTTGCAGTATTGAAACTCAGTGAGCAAGGCATCTTAGACAAGCTGAAAAACAAATGGTGGTACGATAAGGGTGAATGTGGAACCAAGGACTCTGGAAGTAAGGTCAGTCGCTGCAGGTCTTTTTATACTGATGGATAAAATGCTTTGTGACTTCACTGTTCATGTGCAGAACATGTAAAGCATCTCAGACTCATCGTTATTGCTTTGAACACATCTTTAGTTTCCCTTCAGAGCAACACATAGAGCTTGACTCCACGCAGTTTATTCACGCATCACCTCTGCAGAGAGACACCTACAGACGCTGCATGATCACACAGTTTCTATTCACTCCATGACATTCTGAAAGGTCCAGAACTGAAACCATTACACTGCTGTTTTTAGCCAAACCTTCATTGAAATTTACTTTATTGTTGGTCTTATTCATTTGTACGGTTAAAAGAATCCTTGAACTTGGTATGCTGTGTAAAATGTTGCAACACTGGTTTGCAAATAATTCAAACCATATAAGGAAATGGTATTTAAATGGTATTCTTGTGTTCATGAGTCTGCTTTCATCATGGATATGATCTGCTCAGCAACGTGGATCTTGTAGTTTGCAGTCTGGACTACAGGCAGGACAGTTTAGCACCATCCTTCCATTTTCTTTACCCTCTTGATCCTGTTCAAGGTCACAGGCAGCTGGTGTCTCCAGAGGTCATTGGGTCCAGCCTGGCCCACACCAAGGGACAATTGAGGCTCACCAATACCCATTTGTGTCCAAAGGTTTCCATAGGTCGACCAGAACTGTCTAGATCAGGGGTCTGCAACCTTTATGATCAAAAGAGACATTTTTACAACTTCATTCACTAAATTAAATGTGTCCAGAGCCATAAAAACCTGCTACAACTGTGATTATCAACTGGTGGCCCATGGGCCACTTTAGGTTTTGTTGGAGGAGACTTTTGGGACCAGTAGGGGTGACATTAAAGCTAAAAATATCTAATGAGTTTAACATTTATTGATATTTTTACAATTTAAGACAAATGAAAAGACCAGATTCTTGTAAAGACGGGAAAAATAGTAAAAAAAAAAACATGAACTGCAGACCTGTGTAATTTTTTTAATTGTGAAAAAAATATTATTAAGTATAGAAATAAAACAAAAAGTTAAAGTGAGTATTGGCAAAAGAAATGAAAACAGCTAAAACTACCAGTAGTACTTTTTTGTTAGTACAAAAAAAAAAATATATAGTTTTATCTTAGTTTTGGTCAAAGCTTGAAAGAGCCTCTGCAGAGTGACCAAAGAGCCACATGTGGCTCCAGAGCCGCAGGTTGCAGACCCCTGGTCTAGATGAAAGGACTCGTGGGCCAGCAAATTTTAAATTGGAGCAGAGCTGCTCTTCTCTGCATCAAAAGGAGTCAGCTGAGGTGGTTCAGGCATCTGATTAGGATGCTCCTGATGCCTTTCTGCCCTTGTGATGAGACCCCGAGGCAGGCCCACAACTTGCTGGAGGGATTAGATCTTCTCTGGCCTGGGAACCCCTCAGGATCCTCAAGGTGGAGCTGGAGAAGGTCTGGGTTTCTCTTCTAAACCTGTTGCCTCCACAACCTGACTATGAATATGTGGTGGAAGATGGAGATGGTTTCCCCTTTTATTTTTTTATAAAAGCACCCCTGGCTGCTGCCACACACACGCCAAAGTGTCTGTCTGGTTTTGTTTGACATATTTGAATCACCAAGGTGAAACAAGGTGACATCACATCTGTGTTGTTTTTATGCTAAATATGTTTAACTCAACTATGGAGAGCTCTTTATACTTGTGGGATGATAAAACTTTTCCCGCCTTTTTTTTCCCCGCTCCCATCCCCTCCGTTGGATTTGTTCTGCAGACACTAACAGCATTCCTTCCCAAATTGATTTTTAATGTATTGAAAGTATGGTTTAAATTATTTGAAAAGAGTTCAATTCTGTTTTTATTAGCATTTCATACAGCGTGCCAACTTGTTTTATAGAAGCACGTGTAATTTTATGAAAGCTGATTGTATTCTGGCTTTTCCAAACTGTCCCTTAAACATCAAGTTAGTGTCAATGAAGTGTAAGAATAAAAAGATATTTTGAACATTTTCAATGAACATAAAATAAATCTGCAGGCCACTTAGCTGACCTTTAGAATAGACAATAAAGAAGGTATTAAACAGTCCCCACTGGGTTTTAACGCAAATGGTAAAACTCGCTTAAATGAATTTCAATCTTCCCCTTTGGCTTTTAATAGCAGTAAAATGGTTCAGTTCACTTTTTACAGCTTGTCACTTTAACTGTGCAGATGTTTGTAGGCTTGAGTTCAGCAGCTGTAAGATAGTAAACTGAGAATCTGTAGACCTGTACGACCACGACCGCCTTCCTTTACCTGTGGCCTCGTAAAGAGGCCGTAAAGCAGGATAGTTTGATTCTTTACGTTCACCTTCCAGCTCTTTACAGAGGAGGACTTAGAAACATTTAGGACAAATGAAGCAGCTATATCTCAGTTTAGGAGCATACTGTATATAGCAGCCTCCTCAAAGTAGCTGTTTATCGTAGCATAGCAGTTCAGTTTTGTGCTTGTGTTGTGTTTGTAGATTCACCTCCTCAGATTGTCAATGTCAATTGTCTTAACGGTGGTCTCTGCCTCCCCCAGGACAAGACAAGTGCTTTAAGCCTGAGCAACGTGGCAGGGGTCTTCTATATTCTAGTCGGGGGGCTCGGCTTGGCTATGACCGTGGCTTTGATAGAGTTCTGCTATAAGTCACGGCAAGAAACCAAAAGACTAAAGCTGGCGAAGAACGCCCAGAACTTTAAGCCAGTCCCTCCGACAAACACCCAGAATTTTGCCACGTACCGTGAAGGCTACAACGTTTACGGGACGGAGAGTGTTAAAATCTAAACGGTAGGTTTTCAGCACCGAGTCAGACACTTTGGAAGTGCACATTAAAGTAGCTTTGGATCAGTTCCTAACATTTTTGCATGAGGTGTGTTGAATTCCCGGCATGAAGTTGACGCTGTTTAGTTTTGCCACATAACTATAACTCGTCTAAGAGCTCATTTTTAGGCACACACGAACTGAGCTCAGACTGCAGCACATCAAATTGTTATCACACTTGCACACACTGTGCACACAACTCCAACCTCCAATTTGCTTCTAATGAATCTTTTTCTGTCTTTTGAAGTGATCTTGATTAGTAGTTCTTCATGTTCTTAATAACTCTTGCTGCATTTTCCAAACATTTTGATTGCAGTCCTTGCACGACTATGATCATGCATGTCTTTAAAAAAAATCCACCACAAATCCCTGAGACAGGACCTGAGAGGGTTATCGTCCTTTAGTGTAGTCCAGAAGTCATCCTAATCTGATGCTCATCAAAAAACTGAGACTGTTTGGAAAGCGAGCCAAAGACCTGAGCCAGCGTGTGACAATTCCATCTTTCTTTAAATTAATGTTAACATTAAAATAAAGTTTGAGGAGTTATCAAAGTGTCTTTAGGTTTATTGCTAGAATTTTGGGACACGTTTTTAGTAATACTGTACATCTAAGGTTCATGGGGTGTTTCGGCCAAAACTCAAGGAAGGCTCAGCTGAGGAAGATCAGGCCTAAGTGTGAACCTCTGAACCATGTGGATTTGTTGAGGGGTTAAGATTGACCCCCCCCCCCCCCCCCCAAAAAAAAAAAAAAAAGTTAAATTGATGTTTACGTTAAAGTTAAGTGTTCTACAACTCTCTATAAGTTTATTGTAGTGGTGGTACTTAAAGAATGAAGTCTTTCACAAGATGGTACTTAAGATGAGGAGTTAGAACCACTGGTCTAGATATCTGACTTAAGATTATTGCACAGCATTGTTAGCATCTTGAAACTTGTTTACACGTAAATGAATTAGGTTTCTCAACAAAGATGCAGGACTTCAAGCACTTAGGGTTGACGGTCCAGGAAGTGCAATGAAGAGGTGAACAAGAGAGTCCAGGCAGGATGGAGAAAAGTTTCAGGAGTGATTTGTGACAAAAAAAGTGTCAGTAAAGGTCAAAGGAAAAGTTTACAAGACAGTGGTGAGACCAGCCATGTTCTTTGGTCTGGAGACAGAGACATTTGGGGAGTGGTGGCGCAGAGGTTAGAGAGGTGGGCCTGTGATCCGAAGATCGCCGGTTCACGCCCCGGCCCCGACAACATCAAAATTGTGGGTGGGGTAGGTGACACACCCACACTTGCCCCCACCCTCATTCGCCCCACTCTGGGCCCATGAGCAAGGCTCTTAACCCCCACCATGTGCTCCCTAAACAGATCTTTCTTGAAAATGAGTTCTCGTGGCTCAATGAGACTAACCTGGATAAATAAGGGCTAAATGAAAAAAAAAAAAAAAAA